TAAAAAGCACATCCAAAAATTTGCACACTCTATATCTTAATGTTGTCCTCCAAGTATCCATGCTCAAATAACAATAGTATAAAATATAAGTATTCACTTTGTGAAAAAGGAGTTGTTTAACGGAGCTTGAATGTCTCATACTGAAATAGGAAATGGGACATAATCTGATAAAACACAGAAGAGATGTGCAAGTCATAAAAAAACCATGTACACAATAGGCATCTGGCAGCATTTTCAGACAACTTTTAAAATTTATTCTGACATGCTATAAAGGAGTAAGTTACACTGTTATATGAATCACCAGCAGTAAGAATATTTTTCAGCTGGATTGGAGTGAAAAGATAGCCTAAGGTAGTAACCAGTAACCAATGTGAGAGGCTGCCTGAGACCAAGAGTAAACCTGTCATATTTGTGTCACAAGAACACAAAAGAACATTCTTCCTTTTTCATACCATTTTAAATCTGCAAAAAATAAACAGTCTAGCCAATGCAGTTATGGCAGGATTTGTAAGCTGTTGCAATGGGTCTGAAAAGATTCCTTTATTTTCATCTGATCTCTTGTTACAGAAGACTGGGTATCAATGCAACAGATTATAAAAATGCAAGAGTGCCCCTCCCCATCAGGAAAACAAATACAAAATTTATTTAAAAACAAAAGTGAGGAAGAGTTACAACACTAGATCTAAAATGATTAAGAAACAGGACTGTTGCTGTAACAAATGGTATTGTAACTGCCATTTTAAAAAAAGGTGGTGTCTAATTTAGTTGCAAATTATCAAGGCAAATTAAAAAAAAGATTCCTAATAGGAACAGTTTAGTTTTAATGAACTTGTAAACAAAAATGCTCCCATTTCAAAATAAAAACAAAATCCCAGATCTTCTAGGTGTTTACAGTGATTACATTTATCAAAGCAACTTTTACATACAGTTTCAATTGGAGGATGTTAACTAAATTTGTGACAAATATGCTGTTTCTCCTTTTATACCAATAACATTATAGTTAATGCAAAGTCCTAAAGATAATCTAGTAGTCGCTAAATTTCTCTTAAGTCTTCACTTAGATGCTGTTATTTCTATGCACAGGTAAGCAGGCAGAGTCTTTCATATGCTTAAAACTGGAATCTTTGGTTACTACCACAATAGCTGGCTTGTTACATCACTCAAGTTACCAGCAATTTAATGAATGTTTTAAGTGTAAAACTTTCAGAACCAGGGAGGAATACCCAGAAGGAGTGCACAATTGTGAGCATTTACAATTATCGCAACTGTTCTGAAGACTTGTTCATGCCATTCTTCCAAAATAATGAGATCTCATAAGCAGTGTAGTTCAAAGTAAAAAGGTTACAAAAATTGGCATATGCACAATTCTCTCCACCACTTGTGTGTCAACCACTCGGTTAATTTTTCCACTTGAAAAAATGCAATAGAAAACTGGACACCATGTTCAACTATCTCAGTAATATTCACAATTACAGCTGCTACAACTCAGAGATGCAGCATCAATGGTGCTGCCCAGAGCCAGTTTATACTGAAAGCAAGTTCTTTACATCAAGTAGATGGTTGCCCACAACCACTGGTATGTGTATTTATGAACTAAGATTTCTAGGATTTGGGAGGTGATACATCCTGCTCCATTCAGCTCTGCCTCATCTGTTCTCTTCTTCATGCTCAAAAACCTGGAAAACAAACAAAACACTTTGATATTTGGAAAGAGTCAAGCAACTGAGTGGAAAATCTTAAGAGATTGTGATTTTAATAGGAAAGAAATCCATTTGAAATTAGACTGATCTTCCACTTGGTAAGTGCTTTATTCAGTAACTGACAGTAGTGCCCCCCAGGTTGAGTGTCCCATTTATACACCAAGAGAAAAACATGCAAGAACCCTACTTTTCAAGGAAAACCACACCCAGCCACCAGCTTTTTTGTCAGGTCAACACTGTTAATTTGGCAACCGTATCAAATTCCATGGAAGATCAATTATACTCAGGCTGCCAATCAAAAAGTATTTTTAGTTGAGGATCCTTTTGAATTAATTAAGTATACTTAAAACAATTTTGCATCTTGCCAGTTTCAAATACTTCATCACAAGTTGATCAAGTCATGGTTTAAATATTTAAAACAGACATTTCACATGTCTCCTATGTATACAGAAGAGAATCATACTCCTAATATAGTTTACTAAAGGGCATATCTTTTGATGAACAACTTCAGATACACTATATAGATAATGTACAGCTGAAAAGTGATAAACTAAAGCAGTTTAGTTCCATCATTTGAAGTTGCCCTCATTTAATTAACATTTACAGCCCAAAATCAAATATATGTAAGTTGATACTATAAGATTGGCAGTAAGATTCACAGATAACAGTATAACGTTGCCACATAGGCTGTTTGTTTGTATATATGTTTATTTTCAATATACAGTCTGTACATAGAAATACATCTTCTATATATCCGAAATTGTAAAAGCATAGATCTTGTCATTCCAAAATGGCACATATAGGAGATCTACAGCATTATGCAGCTATTCCTAGAAAGAAGATTGATAAGGATGACAATATTGTTACCTACAGAAGTTCTAGCTTGTTCGAATAACAACCCATTTTACTGGAACACAATTCATCATCTACTACATGATCCAGTTACATTTCAAGTTGTATATAACTGAGTTGAGTTACTTCACCTGCTTAATAAACAGCCTTAATCTTTGAAACAAATCCTATCGCCATTTAATGCTGTTGCTTAAAAATTACAAGAAAGTTACTGTTATGTGGTTCAAGGCACTGTATCAAACAAATGAACATAAAATTAGACAAATTGTATTATAATTGTTTCAAATTTCTAAAAAAGAATGTAGTCTTTCAAAATATCAATGGCTATGGAAAATCAATTCTGTTAAGACTGCCAAGAGTAATATCTAGATGAAAACTACCTAAAACAGTTGACATCTAATAACTACATTCTCTGTAAGTGTACAGTTTGTTACTTTCCACCCAAAAGGCTCCAATCAACACTGAACTGCACTGCTGTGAAATTACAGAAAATCTTTCATTTCTACTATTGAAGGAGAAATCTTAAAATCTGAATAATGAAAGAAAGAAATGGAAAGCTAGGATAGGTTAAGAAAATTAAATGGAAAAATGGTTACTTCTGGCTCCAAATTATGGTGTAAAATGCCTGTACTATCTTTTGTTCAAAAGCTGCAACTGCCATAGCTAAAGTAGCAGACAGGACGAAAATATCTTCTGACCATTCACTAGAATTTTTGGAGCAAGTCATTATCCTTATATATATTATACTCTACAATGCTGTCTTGGATGATATGTCTGGAAAATACATTACAATACATTTTCCCATCTATTCAAAATTGTATAGTTATCCTTTTCTATGTATCACTAACAGACATTTAATTAAAACTGACATCTCTTTTTTGCTATGTCTGTTAAATGGAATATTGACCTGCCTAGCAGAAAGTGTTTACTAAAGAAATGTTAGATGATACTTTTAAGAATGATTCTAAAGAATGTTCTGCTTTGTGATAATATCAAGGCTGTGAAGGCTTTGAAAAAGACAAGAAGCTCATTTTTTTCCAGACTCATGCAGAAATAAGATACTTGACTGTCTCTAGTCTTTTTCCGTTGAGTCTAGGTCTCTAAAAATGGTAATTTTTATCAGTTTTTACCTCAAGTAGAATCTTCTTTATAATTGAAGGATTTAATTTATCTATACAATTTAACTCTGGGGGACTCATAGCATAAAATGTAGGAAAAGTATAAAAAAGAGAAATAAAAAATTTGTGGCCTCAAAGCAAATTTTTGAACATTTCACCCATCTAACCACATTGACTGAGAAGTATTTGGTCTAGAGACTTCATACCAGTCCAGGATTCTCTGCCCATATGGGCATTTAAGAGCAGTTAAATAAGCTGCAACTTAACCATACTGACTCACTTTCCACTCTTGACTGTACCTTAAATGAAGGTTAGTCTTCATTAAATTCTATCTTTTCAGATATGAGTTAGACACTTAAGCTGGTTATCACAGATAGAAAAAAAAAATAAACATAAGCACTGTCTCTAGGATACTAATGTCCTAGCCCCCCCCCCCCCAAATCATTTGTTTGGAAAATCAGATATGGATGTTTCCATGACCATCTTGCCCAACTACACTCAGGCAGCTATATTGTATACTGAGCCAAAATAAATACTAGAGCAATAAAAAACAAAACAAAAATGATACCCTCCTCCAAAACTATACATGAGGCTGCACCTAGTACATTCAGTACCCATTGCACTGGTATTTTAGAGAAAATAATACTGTGGTCAGAACAATTATTAAGTTCAATAAAGGGTGATGAAAGTCTTACTTAACCATTCCTTATAGATAAATAGTCCAGTTGTTTAAAGCAAAGTTGCAAAGCACTACAGAATACACAAGTCTGGAAAGGTATACACAATCATGCTATGACTGGTAATGCCTTACGAAATACTCAAATAAGAATAAACTTAACATTTTGATTATTCTAGCTACTATGTGCATATCAATTCCCATCTGAATGCAGTCCTGTAAAAAAGAATGACGTTTTGCAGACTGACAAAATTAGCTTACATTAAAGTAGTTATCAGACTTCAGCCTTTGGAGTTTTTCTGGACACACTATTTAATAGGTAAATCTGCATCCAATATAGTACAGGTAGTTTTCAATTTACAACAGTTAATTCAAAGCCTGTTTAAAATTACAACCACTAAAAAAATGGCTTCTGACCATTTTTCACACTTACAACCATTACAGCATTTCCACGGTCACGTGATCAGAATTCAGATGCTTGGCAACTGACTAATGACAGCAGCAGTGTCCTGATGTCATGTGATCATTTTGTGACCTCCTGACAAGCAGAGTCAATGGGGAAGCCAGATTCACTTAACAATTGTGTTACTAACTTAACTGTGGTGATTCACCTAACAATTGTTGCAAGACAGGTCGTAAAATGAGGCAAAATTCACTTAACAATTGTCTCGGTTACCAACAGAAATTTTGGGCTCAGTTGTGATCCTAACTTGAGGACTACCTGTATCATACCATATGTAAAGAGATACTGTAAAGAAAATTAAGTCTTTTAAATTAATTATTTCAAGTGGATTATAATATTAGTGTTGTTCCAACTTTTTTAGTTAGCAATTTTTACTCATATAGTGTACAAACAGCCTTTTTCAGCTTCCTTCTGATTTTTCACTCTTGGATGAACAATTTGTAAATGAGCAAAAGTCTGAATTACCCACTGAAGTAGCAATTGTAAATTAATACTTTGCATTTAAAAAGCTTTTAATATAACTCTGTTCTATTGTTCCTATCATCCGAATTCCTTTATATTGCACTGTCATATTAATCTGCCCTAATTCAAAATTCCAATGGGTTTTTCTATAGCCTTCGTGCCTCTGCCATAACAGAAGTCTAGCTGTGAGCATATTATAGAATAAGAAACATAATTTGTCTTTCCTTTTAACATACAGATATCAAGCAAGATGATCTACTGCAGCACCATATTTTCTGATGTATTCCTGGCATTCTGTTCACCAAAACAAAAAGCCAACCAATCAGCCAACCAAAAATGGAATTAAAAAAGCCCCACTGAGACATTCCAGATTATGAGCTGGGATATATGAAAGCTGGATTGATACAACTTGAGTTGTATAACATGTAACTTAATATATTAAGTTCCAAAATGCTGAGGTTCAGAGCCTTTCAGAATGCCAGCCTCGCTAGCGTTTTCCTCTTAGGAAGGTAAAACACTAGTAATTGCCATCATTCTTAGCTTGGAAGACTCCTTCTCCAAATTGCACAGGGAGAAGGGTCTGCATTCTGCTGGGCCTAGCCGATTGATGCTTCTGGTCTTGTGGAAGTTTCTGCATACAGGGGGCATCCCCAGAACCAGTACCACAATGACAAGAGCTCAGAACAAGGCAAACACATGGCTGCCTTGCTTAAATGACTGCAGTGATTTATGACTGAAATCCAAAGGTCAATTGTGGCCGTAAGTCAAGGATTAAATGCACTTTCACCCTTTCTACCATCACCTCCCTCCCCAAGATATAAATATTGTAGTATTTGTTTTATGTAACACTATCTCCTGCTAACACGATCTCAATCAGTCACCAACTTCAGCCCTTGTCCTCCTTCTCCAATATAATCCTTCCACTTGCAACTCCACTGGTGGAAACATCTTTCTTCCTTCTCTTCACCTCTTTCCAATTAAGCCATCTCTTTCCCCATTTTATACTCATTACTACAAGACAGATGTTTCTTTCAAATCTGTGCCATTTGAAAGGATTTTTTGGCGTAATCACTAGGAAAATATTTACTACCACTACTATTTACAATTTAGGTGAAATTAATTAACTTGTTTTATTCTGGTTTTCAATAAATTCAAACAATATTTAACTAATATATCTCTGAATGGTTAGTTATACACATAAAATGCTGTTTTAAACAAGTAGAACAGGTAGAACGAATCTCATTTGTAAATTGGAAAAAAACATTTCCTCTTTTCAAATCGCAAATTACTTCCGAATTTAAAATGAATGCAAAGAAAGAAAAGACTTTTCTTTAAAAGTTCAGATAGAAGACATTGTTGTTAGATAAAAGGATTATCATTTCAGTAGTCTGAAATCGAATGCAGGAATATTGCTTTTAGAACTTTTAAAGAAAAAATGTTCCTTAAATAGATCTGACTAGGCATGAAATTAAGTATAATTGGTATATTTTAGCAATATCAATAGCACTTAGACTTATCTACCACTTATATATCACAATACTATACAGCCATTTTGATGGGTTAATTGCTGGCTATCCCCGTCATAAGCAATTCTTCCTTAAAATATTTCTTCTATATTGAATACTGAAAACAATGACAAGAAAATAAGTATAGATTCTCCTATAATTAATACTTCATGTTAATGTCTGCATTTAACTCTGTCTTTAGAAATTTAATTTAAAATATTGGTCAATTCCTTTCGCACTTCAACAAACCAGCCGAAATGAAACAATATTTTCTTGCTCTTAGTTCAAAGAGCTAAGGGGATAGGCTCAAGGAGACTGCATATGTTTGTAGGTTTGCTTTAGCCCCATCTTTTTAAAATACCGGCTACAATTTTTCAATCTCTACTTTTGTACACTGTTCAATATTTACTAATTAGAATTACTGAATGGCTTGTGGTAAAATCAAGTCCTCTTGCTTTCAGAACAGCTGTTGCCAAATTATAATTGTATAGCAGATATGTTTTGCAATTTCAGCATTATTATCCTTACTTCTGGAATAGCTTGAAGGATATTCCACAAAGTGGTATTTTATTGGTTTTGGTTTTCTTGATTTCTGTATCTTCATCCTGATATCTTCGCATCATTATGACAAAAATGCATATTAGCCTTTTAATAAAATATTTTTAGTTTGGAATCTTGCTAGCATTCAATAATACATACATTTATGTCTCAATAATTTAAATAAGGAAACAATCCTTTTTCTGTTGATTCAAAACATATACGATTGGATTATTGTGAATATGATTATATAGTTCAACCAAAAGTGGTTCCTTCTAGATTTGCACACTTTTCTATTATCTTCTTATATGTTTTATCCAATAATTTCCTTATGATCTTTGTTTTGCTCTGATGGACTGCATCCTGGCAAAGAGAGTATATTGTATCAACGATGTGTTCTCATCCGTAAGAAAAAGGGACTGCTGCATAGACACACTGTTTTCATCAATTACCTCTTGCTGTAATCCGTTATCATAAATTTATCTATGCCTATTTGTGGATAGTAGGTTTCTATTCTTCTTTTTCCAGCTAAATGTTTTTCTTCTTTCCAATATTTTATGACATATTTGATGTAATTGAAATATTTTTAATCAGGTAATTCTAAAATGGTAGGCATTGATGATATGATTGAAAATGGTGTGTACAGTCAGTTATCAGAGTCCTGTATAGAGCCTCCTAAATAAAAAAAAGCATCATTAGTACTGTTTTTTTAAATCATATTCTTTGTTATATGTGTACTTATAAAAGGAATGTGCATCTTTTTATTTCAATTGAATAAAAATGGAAGTACTGATTTGTTTTATTTATACACAATTCAAAAATTTAAACCAACCTCAAAACAGAGAAAAGTAAACTCCCAATTTTGAAAAAATTATGACAACAGTATTTACTGACCTGAAGATCTTGAATGTGCAGACTTGACTCGTTTTGCTTTCCAGTTATCTTCAGAGAGGACCAAGCCTCGTGGCGTTTCATTTGGATACTCAGGGCTTGCATTTCTTTGTTACACTGTTTGCATTTTGTGTGCTTGCCCATCTTATTTACAGATATAGAAACATAATTAAAATATTCCCAAATGTGATCCATTTACTGCCTGCTGCCACAGAAAGTTGCTTCTTTTATTATTTTGTCAATAAATCTCATATAGATCTATAATTAAAATTACAGAGCCCCCAAGAACGTAGAACTACTTTCAGTTGAATTTGTTTACTATGTTTCTCTCCCCCATCCCTTATATATACATATTTGATTGATTCTGCCTAAATTTAACCCATCCTCCTAAATTGTCTGATCGTTACCTTTCTTGTCTTTTACTGAGGGAGAGGGTGAGAAAGATTTTACTACGTTTGTGAATGAACATGGGAACTCTCATCTCCCTGTAACATTGTTAGCTACGCTATTCAGAGATTACATCATGTATGTCATCATGCTGAAACTGTCTATGTCTTAATTCTTTTTAAAGAAGTACCCTAATTTTACTTATTTATAATGTACATGTTGCCTCCTAAGATTGTCTGTAGTAAAATTGATGTCATTTACCGGGGTGGGGAGGAGAAATATATTCAAAGAAAATGTTTACCTCTTGGAGGGGGGGGGGAGTGTTTCCCTCCAAAGAAACCCATACCAAAGCCGCATCTATATCGGCCCAATACAAAAAGTAATAGAAAATTTCTTCCTTAAAATGTTAGGTCCAGGATTTTGGTTCATACTATGTTCCCAACACCAAGCCAGCTTATTTTGAAGAGGGGTTAATGAGGGAGCAGAAGATGCAGTGGTTAAAATGACCCAACATACCCAAAGAAATGATATGAAAACAAGGACACTTGGTTTAAAGTTAGTAGTCAAATTTTCCAAGGACGTCCATTTTTTAAATACTAAATAGCCAAATAAGTGTTTTTAATGACCTCCTTGAGCTAACACGTATCACCAACAGGATCCAAATTAGTGTTTATCATTTTTGGTCTGTAACGTCACTTGGTTCTTGGCTACTAACCTTTCATGTTATTCTTGGATTTGTCAGTTTGCTTGCCTGTGGGGGTTTGGGTTTGTTGCCCCTGCCCACTGGAAGAGGCTGCCTGCTGTGCGGCTTTCTGCTTTAACATTGTCCAGTCAAATGTGTAGTCGTATTGATGATTCAGAGTCCTACAGAGGGTACAATTTAAAAAGTAAGAAAACCATCACTGAAATATAATACTTGAATTGCTGTTGCATAAGCAGGTTTAACTGGCATTCAAAATGTACCATTTTGTAAAACATTGAACATTAGGCAGAGTGGTGGTTAATAATTAAAATATGCTTGCAGCAACTTTCAAAGTCCTTTGTACTTCTAAAAAAACGCACAGAAACTTTGGCTTGAGTAGAAAGAGTCCCATGCATAGTGTATAAAACCCTTCAAATTGGTTAATAGAGGAAGGGGAAATACTAATCTTCATCCCCATTTTTTTTTAGTAGACCCCTGCATAAGTACACAGATAAACTTCTGCAAATGACCACGTATGACTATTGCGATCTTGATCACTCACTTTAACCTCCTCTGCAGTCAACATTAATTTTGAGCAAATTCAGCACTGCAAAAAAAATAGATTCACTAACGGTTACAGCACAGTACTAATTTCAAGTGTAGTTTATGTTGAATTGACTAAATTATCATATAACCAACCTTTGTAGACCAAAGAAAATACTTCCTAAAATGGTTGTTGCAGAGTACAGCTTGTTTAGTTCCAAAATGGCTGATCTGAACAACATAGCCAATCATAAAACAGACATGTGACTGGGCTACACAGTCACAAAATCATTTTGATACAGTATCAGTAAAGGACCTCTTCCCAATGAAGTCTATTTCTAGTATGTCCAAATTTATTTTAAATATTTTTATATTTTCAGCCAAACCTCTATAATGATAGAGTGTTATCTAGCCAGGCTAACCATGTGAACAACGATTGTTGTTAAAATTGTTCTATTTGAATATTCAAGAAATACCCTACAAAACCAACCTGAAAAGGATACGGAATAGCTGCCTCAGATACATATAATCAGGAGCTTCTTCAAAGCGCAGGCCACGGCAGTAGTTCAGGTACATTGCAAATTCTGCAGGAAATCCCTGTAAACAGAAGAAATCAAAGCAAGAGTTGGAGGCAGAATCCCCACAATTTTTATACTCAGAAATTCAGTTCTATATCATTCCTTTTTAGGAAAATGGTAAGTAATGGACAAAAGAAAAAGTGACACTAACATTAAAGATAGATCAGTTATAACTAAAGAAAATTCTACTAGTGCGTGCAATTAAACATCTATATAATATTAAGTATACTTTCCAAAATTATTAGCTTATTTACAAAAGAAAATATGATTCATTATCAAAGGCTTAAATTTTTAAAAAGTTTGTACCTTACACAAAACTTCAACGGGAGTAGACATCTTCTTTTCACTAATCTTTTCATATTTTTGCTTTTTTGTTGCAGCCTGCAGAAAATATGGATATATGTGTATATATATATATGTAAATGGAGCAATACTACCGTATTTTTGCACTATAAGACACACCAAGGTTTAGAGGAGGAAAACAAGAAAAAAAATATCAGGTGGAGCCAGAGAGGACCAGATAGGTATCCTCTCATATGCCAGTTCTGCCTACTAATGCCTGCGCTGCAGAAAAGAACTAGAAGAGGCAGGCAATGAAAAAGACAGAAGAGGCGGGGTTCAGCAGTGTTAAAGGCCCCACCGCCACAGCCCAGCTGCTATTCACCAAAGAACTGGAACAGTTTCCCCCACATTTTTAGGGGGGGGGGGGAAATATGGTAATTTTTAATTATCATAGATTTAAAGAAAATTACCAAGTTCCAGAATTCACTGCAAAAAGAATAAAAATGTTTCTTACATGTTTTACTGCAACTTAATTAGCTCATGATAGGATTATATGGGTGTTTCTAGTATTTTTCCTATACAGTCAGCTTATAAGTAAATATAGAAATCTCATAAATGCTCTTGGTATTAAGATTACATCTGATAGCTTAACATTGCCAGCACAAATTGCTTTCTACCATCAATATACTCAAAATCATCATCTGAATTATATAACTTCTTGAGAAAGTACCAACAAATTTCTCTCACACACACATACACACTTGTACATTATCTCAATGAATGTGAGTATATGCATGCATATCTCTCATTTTTTAAATTGCAAACCACCGTCCTGAAGATGGAGAGGTTGCAGTACTTTGAGCAAGGCCTGAGGATAACCAAAGTTCTCTGGACAGGGAACACTTTTCGTAACTTTTCCAAATTATTATTCAAACTGCACATTGTCCTTCAAGGCTATCTTACCCCTAAGCCTTTCTCTGAGCATCTCCTAACTGTAAAGTATTTGTCAGAAATAAGCAAATAAAAGAAGTAGCCTTGAGCATACTTGACTTATACCTATGTGTAGGTATGTTTATCATGCCAGAGAGTATATCTATTCCATTGTATCTGAATTACAAATATACAATATTGTGCTTGTTCATCCAATATTTTAGTATGGTCTTTTACAAGTCTGTATGAAGTTTTTAACATACCTTTAATCCTTGCCACGGCAGGCTGGTTCTGTTAAAGTACATCAATACATATCCTAATGACTCCATATCATCACGACGACTGAGGAAAAAAGTTTTATGTGCTTATTCATAAATTGCATAATATTACTTCTCAGGTTTCAACAAGTTATGAAAATGAACTGTAGGTAAAATGTGCAACACACTGATATGTGTGTGTTGCAACAGTAATAAATAAGATTTATCAAACTTATCTGGAGAACTGTGAAATTATGCATATCCTATTCTTCTAATTCTTGTTTTTCTAGAGATGATGTAGCAATACACTTCAAATTTTAACAAACTGCTTAACTATTATAGAAAATCGCATGCCAGTTTTCCTAGCATATCCAAGTTTTTATTTTGCTATTTTTCTCCTTATCAAATGCTAACTTCTAAATTTTGGCTTATCTTGGAGTGGCGTACTGAGAGAATAAAATAATAATCAAGCAATTTTTAATGTACATATTTTATGCAAAAGTAACTATTAACTTTAGACTAAACTTGCTGAAATTATTTTCCCTTATTTTCCAATCATTTTCTACTTTAGTCAACAACTATGTGTAAAACAAGCTTGATGAGCTCCATTCAGCCCCATATCTATCCTGATAAGAGTACAACAGTGAGATCATGAAAGAATGAAAATTGTGTAGGCATAATAGCAAAGCACATAACAGCAAAACCATTATGAACCATTCTGGTTCGTATTCTACATGAAATATAATTGAAAACATTCAAAAGCTAAATTTAACCATATGAATTTTGAAAATGTATGATAAAAATACTGATTCCAGAAATAATCCAATGTTTATGTTTGATGACTGATACTATAATGTCAACAAAGGCATCAGAAAACATGCTGTCCAAAAGTACTATTTAAAGGAAGTTGAGCACAATTAAAAAATTACAAAACTATCACCAAAATGAAGGGAAAGGTATTGATTTACATATTATGAAATGTATATGAAAACTCTTGGTCTGTTAAGGAAAAAGTTAACTTCATCTGAAGTACTATATTTCAGGGCTGAGAATCTTATTAGATATAAATTAATACCAAATTACCCCCCCACCAAAGTTATTTTAAAAACAGAAATCTCTTCAGCAGATAAGAACAAAGAAATCTTAAGTTTTAAGGTCTTTAAGAAATAATTTTAACTTGAAAACATAGGCTATTTCTGATGCAGTTTTTCCATTTTTATTTAATATTGGCGTTTTGGATATTCGCTCTGCTGTTAATTAGTTGTATCAAATGATTTTACTTGTTAAGGCAACATGTAGGTATAAGATGGATAGATAAAAATGTATCTTCCATGGATATTTTGGTGTCTATAAGGTACACAATTCAAATATTTGCTCTACTGTAAGAAGATTTAAATTAATTTTCCTTTTTTTGTGTGTTAAAATAACTCTCCAAGATCCCAAATATTATGGCACTGGTAGGAAATGTGTGGTCTTCCCAATATTACTAAATTATTATCTCAGTCTCTTTATCTGACAATTGATAAGGGCCATTAGAAACAATTCAGAAATTTCTAGAGTTTAACTTTTTACAGTTCCTAATCTAATTACAGAAATTGCTTGGATACTTACCTCTGTTCAATGCCAAGATGTGCATTAATGCTTGCATATCTAGCTGTACCAGTGAGATTTTTGTCTTCTCTATAAGGTATGTGTTGCCTTGTTCTGTTGTCCCGGTACTTTTTGGCCAACCCAAAGTCAATAAGGAATAACTTTAAAATAGATAAAATAGATTCAAATTTCCAGATGGCATTTGGAAATATCAGAACTTTTAAGTATATGCCTAATAGATAATTCAGACCAACAAAATTAAATTCAATTATAACTTAAAGACAATGGAAACAAAACCACAACTCTTAACTCTTACTTGAAAAATAAAATATAAAACGGACCTAACTTTCTCATCTACTTGGAAAAAACAAAATATTCAAAGTGAAACTGTTTTATGAACTGTTTTCAGTTAATTTCTCAATTAATTTTGCTTTTCTGCCACTTACTGCTATAATTTGTTTCTACTACACTGAAGCATTCTTTCATATTATCAAAAAATATCTGAATATGTTAATTCAAGACCAAAGTGTCACAGAATAATTTATTTTATATTTTACTAATTAAAGTAATTACATTTAACTAAAATGTTCAGTTACAAATAATCTGGAAGTTGTTAGATGTGACAAATTAAAAGTATAATAAATAGCATATTTTTCAGAGTATAAAATGCACCGGAGTATAAGATGCACCAAGATTTTGAAGAGGCAAATTAAAAAAAAGTTTTTGTACTTTGCAGACCTCCCTAAAACGGCCCGTTGTTTTGCAAAAACGAGCCTGTTTTTGCAAAAATGACCTTTTTTTTGCAAAAACGACCTGTTTTTTGCATATTTTTGCCCTCCCTAGGAGACTCTGGAAGCCTCCTAAAGGTTATGCACGGCCATTTTGCAAAGGGGGCGGGATTTCGGGAGGCCAAAAATGTGATATTCAGTGTATAAGACACACCCAGATTTTCATCCTCTTTTTTGAGGGAAAAGGGTGCGTCTTATACTCCGAAAAATACGTTATTTTGTTCTATAGAAAACTAAGACTAGACTAATGGTATAAGACAATTTTTTTAAGAGTTTAGTCTAGAGCCGTGATGGCAAACCTATGGCACGTGTGCCAAAGGTGGCACGCAGAGTCCTCTCTGTGGGCACATGCACTGTTGCCAGCTGGCCTACTGGTTTATGATGCATGCTTGCCAGCTGACCTTCACATGTGCCGAAGCCTTGGAAACCCGACGACTAGCTGGCTGGTGCGCATGCCAGGTACCTGGTCTTTGGATTTCTGGCACCCGCGAAAACCAGCTGGCCATCACAAATGGGCACACCAGAAATCAGAAGACCAGGTGGCAGTCAAGCGCATGAACACTGTCAGCTGATGTTTGAGTTTCTGAGGCTCCGGCGCACATGCGTACAAGCATACACACACGGTCCGGTTTGGGCACTTGGTGCCGAAAAGGTTTGCCATCACTGGTCTAAAGTCTAGTCCATTTTAGGAAGTGTACCAAAACTCCTGAACATTTTTTTGTAAAAAATCTAAACCTAATACAGAAAAAGAAATTTTTTAAAAAGGAGAAAAAGTGTTTCCTAAAGTAAAAGCACCAAATAATTGACATAACTAAAATTTAGAAAACAACTGAAAACAATAATTTAACAGATCTTCAGGTTACTAGTGTCTTTAAGGAACATTTTATTATAAGTTTGTTTAATAAGGAAGCAAGTAAATAAATAGTTGTTGAGCCTTTACAATTTGCCAAAGTGAAGAAGTTTAGATACAATGAGAGGAAGAAAGACAGTATTTAAAGCAGGGTCAACAGGCATCATCACACACCAGCATTTCTCTAATAGAACTTATTTTTAAAAATACATCTTAAAAGTTAAAAAACTGATTAACATTTACTGACATCTCAAGCACGAAAACTGACTTGGATATCTCATGAGATTTTGCTAAATCTTAAAAGTATTAATTTTGAAGTTCAACGAGTGCTCTCCTAGTGCATCGCAGGCATAATAATGTTGACTCCTGATTTAAAGTTAACTGAACACTTGTGTTTATGTTATAGGTGAATGTGGATGGATGACACTTAACCATTTATGATAGAGGACCTGAAAACAGTACAAAACACAGAATAACTAAGTGATTCAAATAAGTACACCTTATAATGTTGAAATATTGGTAGGCCAATTAGTATTTTATGAGCTCCTTCTCTTTATTAGCACAAAGCAGGAAAGACATTAGGATTTTTAAAAAGGTATTATAAAAGAAATTGACAATATAATTTTCAGAGATTTATTTTCTTTTTCTTAGTCTCTGATTTGGATGAATACAAGGCATAGAAAAACCATGCTCTTAAAAAGCACTTGGCAAAACAATTACTTCACATGAACCAGAATGGCTATTTTCTTTTAGGAGTTTTGAGATGTTTCAGATCATCTGCGATACACCTTCATTAACAGAGTATTTTAAAACATTATATAAAAGCCATTTTGGAGTTCTATGGCATCAAGTATTTTAAAGATGAATTTATCAGATTTCAATTGCGTTAAGGATACATTATGGCAAGGAAATAACTCTGCTGTGTAACTTTTCCATGATAATATATTCTTACAATCTGACAACACCAAAGCCATGCTTCATTATTGGGAAAGATGCTAGGGAGCAAAGTTACTTAGCAACATAATAACACTCCCTCTTAAATTGCTTTGGTTGACAAGTGAGGATAGTACTTTTGAGATTACATATACTATTCCATCCAATATACCACACTTCTCCAAGCTACTGCTTTCACATCTTCCTAATTTACTCTCCCCGACATGAATGTCTGCACGAATCTTGCTGATTTAGTTTCAGAGTAAATAAGGAAACCCAGTCAGAACTGGAATGATGGACAGAGAAGGGAAACTCAAAGGTTCCAATCTGAAACTGGCAAAGTGCTTTTGCTATTTACTCTGACATAGGGCTCTTATTTGTACTATTCTATTCCCCAAGATAGCACATTTTAACACAAAAAGAATATTGTTATTGTTATAGTGCAAAATATATCTATTTTATACTTAGCTAAATCAAGTTTAGAACAAGAAGTATCACTTCCTTGTTAATTAGCATAGGATACTGCCTTCACACTGGCTCAATTATTATGTGGTACTAAAACATTTTTGGCATGACCAGATCAAGCCAAATGGTTCTTAATAACTCAATGAGTCTCCATGTTTGCCCTTCTACCTTACCCCTATAAAATAAAGAAAAGGATTTCAGCCAACTTTATTTCTAAAAGGTTTTTTTCACTTCAGGTTTGTTTTTAAAAAAGGTTTTATTAAATACAAACAGATGATCGTGCATGGAAATAAACCATGATTAAGCAATTCAGTTTAAACAGCTGATTTGTTAATCTCTTTTTCTTCTGTATGTAGCCAACTCCTATGACAATTGAGATCAGTATCCTAACATTCTCCTCCTCTGCAAAAAGATATATTATAAAATCCTAAAACCCAGCCTGGGGCTATATTGAAGTTTGAACAAGTCCAATGTTATAAATTAGAGAGGTACTGTAATTTGATCCACAATACAGCATAAAAGGACGCTGCATAAAATGAAAACTATTCCAATTGCCACATTTCTAAATTCATGGGCCTAAAGTATCATAATAAAATTAATGTTTAATAAATAGCTATTTAAGGAGCTAAGAAACCACTAACTAAAATTTGGTAAAAATCTAATACGATACAATTATTTTAAGCATGTTTTTTTGGGAAAAAGTATAGTAGATCTCGATTCTCCCCATCAAAAATGCATTTTTCCCAAACACACTGATCGCATTAATGAAGAGGGAGGCAAATCTCATCAAGACCTACTAACAGACCATGCACTCACAGGCATCTCTAATTCTTCACAATACATTCTATATCCTCCTTGTCATATTTCAGAACAGAACTACTCTTCTAGGGTTAATACAATGTTTTGGCCGTTATCCTTAATCATATTAACATGGATAAAAGAAGAACCGTTTATCTTACAACAAGCGCTTAGTAATGTTACATGTTTGCCAAGTATGTCTGAATAATGCCAACATAAGGTGCTTTTTGCAAATCTACATGTTTTCCGAAATAAAATAAAATGCATATGAGTTGGGATTGAGGTTGGAATAGAGACAGTTTCAGACCTGGTTTAATCCTGAGAAAGATGGGTCCTGAGAAGTACTAACAGTCATGCTTCTTTTCCTCTTCCCCACTGGAGATTCTAAACACTGAACAAACAGAGGGTGGCAGTGCATCAAACAGTATTGCTTACATTGCAACAATGGCTGGCGCAGACAGGCAACACCGAGGCATTAGAGAAAGAATAGGGTAGCCAAATGCCATCCTTCTTCCACCAAGCACTACAGTTTTCCAAAGGAGAATCATAGATAGAGAAAAAATTTAGATGTGGCAAGATAAATTTGAGCGTGCCACTTTAAAATGACACTGCCTTGAACAGGGATAGCAATGGCAATATTTGGCTTAATAAAAGGTAATTTTGGCTTTTACATATGTACTGCCCTTCCCCCAAACAACACGTGGGAAAATAAATCTTCAGTAAGGAAGAGGTAGAAGGCATTTAGTCACCTTAAGTTCACTTTCGTAAGCATGCAGGGCTTATTGTAGGAGAGGCTCAAAGAAGATCATATATTAGGAATAAGACAATTCCTAACACATAACATTTAAAAATAAATTTTAGAAAGAAAGCATTCCAATTTTATTACCTATATTTAGTTTATTATGAACTTAATTTATTGGAACATGATTAACAAAACAGCCTCACCAACCATACCATGTCTTAAAACAATGGACATGTGATACAAAATCCATCTGTATTTTTGGAAAAAGGATGAAAACCATATCAATGTTTAAAGAAACTGCTGATTTCACACTTTTAAAGCTTTAAATTCTGTGTGGATTAAACAAAGGGGGTTATCTTATGTAGAGGATTATTTGTAACATTGAATGAGCATCTAAAATTTAATGCTTGTCACTCTTTATCTAAATTAGTGCTAGGACTGAAAAATGTGGTCCTTTTTTCATCATCCAACGTGACTCTATAATAAAGTCACCTAACAAAGCACAACATTTTTCAGACAACATTTCCACATCATAAGAAAACAAAGTGTTGCAATGCCAGCTCACTATAACTGTCAACGTATATGGAGAAATGGCCCAAAAAGAGAGGAAATATCAAATCAAGACTGGTTTAATTTTTTTCTAGTTATACTTCCAGTTCTTGTCAGAAAATTAAAAGACTGCATTAAAGAAACAAGAATGTGAAATTTAGAGATAAGGTTCAATAGAAATAGAACTGATAGTGTCTTTTAAATTTGACTATTGCAATTTCTTCTCACCCCAACTCCCCAAAGTTGTTTAATGCTTCACTGAACGCCTTTAACGCAGAATTCAACAGGTGGTTGTTGGTTTGATTTTACTCTCAAGTAATGGCTCCAAGTTGGCATTCATACAGGCAAACAAAGGTAACATTTTATGGCTAAAAATATCAAAAAGGTAAACGCTGATGGCTTATGAAGATCCAATCTGTATGGGAATGTTGCTGCCAATATAGATTCAGTTCACATACATTTCCCCAAACTTCAGAATTTCTATTTAACAGCATGCTTTAAATGCATTGCCAATGCTGCCTGTCTGCTCGAGCTCAATGTAAAGTATCACAGTTTACTCTCACAAGCTAGCCAAGAATATTTCCAACCAAAAGTTTAAAAAAACATGCATTTCCAGCTCAATTTCTATCATCCCCCTCTACCCCCACTTAAAATCCAATGAAATATTAAAATTCAGTAAGCAAATGTTAACCTATACCTACCCATTAACTGCATTCTGAACTTCCACAAGCTTGTGATTGCACAGAATGCAGTTTCATAAACAAAGCTCTGTAGTATTACAAACCAATATTTCTTTATAAGTTGATTCTACTCAATTAAAATCTAGGTAACTGGAAGTCAAGAATCCACCATGCTAGAAAATAAAGCAAACAATACAAAATCGCAGTTTATGGCAAGCTGTGCTACTGTAATTCATTGATTTTGAATAAAAGGATAGTTATATAGAAAGAACTTAAGTATGGAAAGAAATATAGGTTATATAACATACTGATTTGCTTAATTAAGGTCTGAACAAAGGCTGAGATCATATGATTTGCTTGTAGTAGTATGACTGAAAATCTCATCTCTTGATGAATACTATTAACCAATAGCTAACTCAAGCAGCACAACTTTTCAATAAACTGTATTTTATGATAACTCTTTTCATGCAAAAAAGGGTGTTAGACTGACCTTATTACAGTGACGTCCGATACCCATTAGAAAGTTATCTGGTTTAATGTCTCTGTGTATAAAATTCTTTGTATGCACATATTCAATTCTACTGATCATCTGTAAACAAGAAGAAAATTGGTCAAATTTAAAAGCATTTCATGTATGATTTCCAATTTCAATCTTTCCTTCTATGGGCTAAGACATTTTTTACATGACGATTCATTTATTTATTTGTCAAGCATGTACAAGATAGCCCCGGGATGGCGAACCTATGGCACGTGTGCCACAGGTGGCACGCTGAGCCATTTGTCAGGGCACGCAAGGCATTGCTCTGTCAGCTGGCCAGCGCACGCATGCTGAGTTCAGCTTTTTTTAAAGCCATTTTTTGCCTTCCCCAGGCTCCAGAGGCTTTATAGGAGCTTGGGGTGGGCGAAAACAGCCTCCCCCCCCCCCTCCGGAAGTCCTCCGGAGGCTCCAGGAGCTTCCCTGAAGCCTCTGGAGCACAAAAAACCGGCCCCTACGGGCAAACTGGAAATTCAGGGACAGACTTCCTGTTTGCTCGTAGGGCCGATTTAAGTCCTCCGGAGCCTTCCAAAGGCTTCCCTGAAGGCTCCAGAGGATGAAAAACAACCCAATGGACAAACCGGAAGTGACTTCCGGTTTGCTCGTAGGGCTGTTTTTAGTCCTCCGGAACAAAGGCTCATAGGGACTAAAAATGGCCCTACGAGCAAATCGGAAGTGACTTCCGGTTTGTCCGTTGGGGTGTTTTTCGTTCTCCAGAGTTTTCAGGGAAGCCTCTGGAAGGCTCTGTTCCCGAATTTCCGGTTTGTCTGCAGGGCCGGTTTTTTGTAGTTTAAGCTATTATTATTAATCAGATATGTACAAAACCTACTCTAATGGAATATTCAAGAAGCTCTGATCTCTGCTGTTCCTCTGGATCACACCAATCTCAATTTAGTGCAACAGTTTTCCTTAAGTAAAACTGGTGAACTGGAAGTAGTTTAGGCTTTTCTCAACAACTAAGGTTGGACTATATCTAGATTTAGTGCAATCCAAAGAAAGAGAAAAATTCCAGAGTTCTCTCCAAAGATGTCTATTATTCACATTCTTGACATTAATCTTTAAAGTCCTGAAAGAGCTGATGATTATCCTGCCTTCCAATGAAATATGCTGAATAGGCTCTTCTGAAGAAGCTCTTAAATATCTAACTATTTGACGCGTGAAAGACAGTCTTCTATATTGCTTCATGGCCTACATTTAAAAGATCCAGAGAAACATTTTGCTAGGTTTTGAGGTTAATTTATTAATTTTCATATGTTTTAACTTTCTGGCTTACAAAATTTGATTCTTGTCAGCATTCTTGGATATCTGCTTGAGTAGAAAGGCAGAATATAAAACAGAGCTATTCTGTTTATTCTATAGAACTAAAAAATATTATTTCTCTACATAAAATCTTTAATCACTTTGAGCTTTTATTATGTACAACATGAATTCATATTATTGACCACAGAAAAACAAGTTATTGTTATTCATGTCTAGTCTATGTATTGCTCTATATTAAAAGAACTTAAATTTCTGTTATTAACCGTGTCATGTTAAATGATTAATACATTTCCATAGGCCTATTGGAGAATTTTTTTAAATAGGGGCATCTGTAGCCTGCATACACCCTCCCAGTCTCAACTCTGCAACTATACTTCCAACTCTCATCCTCAAAATAATGTGGTTAAAACTTGGTAGCATAGTAGCAATCTTGTTTTCCCATAGAAAATGAGCTTTTTTTTTTAAAAGAACACCACTGATTGGAGTATTTGATCCAGAAAGAAATAATAACAGCAGAAGTAAACTGCTGTTCAACAGGTATTCTTCTGTAATTGCAAGAAGACGTAGCTTTAAAAGATTTGCATTATACTCTCATAGTTGAATCTTTATACAAATATGTTTCATTGAAGGACTGAATGAAAATGGTTAATTTTTCTTCTTTAACATTGCTTCAATTCACCATCTTTTATTTGGCAGTTAGAGTCAAAAAAGCATTTTGGCACAGCATGGTATTCAATATAAGTTAATGGAGTTCTAACAAACCAAGTGAACTACAAAAAGGACAAAAGAAGGTTATCCTTCTCTTCCTTCTCTGTGTATCTATGTTTATTGCTGACTGGAAACCACATATTCATTTGCACAAAACAGAAAAAATTGAACATGATTTATGGCTTTGACATTAGAAAAAATAGACAATAGAAAAAAACAGCTTTATTGTAACCACTGAGTAAGAGGTAATTTTGTAATTGTACTTATATTTGCTGTAAGGAAAATCAGAAGCTACTATTTTTTAAATTATTTTTGCATGTGTCTCTTTTCCTTTAATTTATATTAATTCTTATAAAATTTTCTTTTCAAAACTCTTAAAACTTTTATAAACACAAGAGATATAGCAAAAATTATTGCAACTATTAAATTCAGCTATTTTGAATTTAAGATTTAATACAACAAATAATGTTAAATATGAAATAATATACTCTGTATTTCATGATTTGGTCTACAAATCTTGTGCTATTCAGTAAATAATCTCCCATTCATAATATTATTTTTTCAGTCTATCTGACTCAACTACTCATCGGACTACAGATATTATAAAGTCAGTAAACTTTGTATGTATTTGAAAACACAGAGCAAACTACATTTCAGGGAACTTCTAGTACTCCTTATCCAAACAGAATATTTGCACATACCTGGTCTGCTAACATAAGTACTGTTTTCATTGTGAACCTACGAGAACAGAAGTTGAAGAGATCTTCAAGACTAGGTCCAAGAAGATCCATGACTAGAACATTGTAATCTTTTTCTTGACCATACCACCTGCAAAGAGACAGAAATCAGTATTAGTGTTAACCTGGATACAATTGAATAGCATTAATTTGTTAAAGGCGACTTCAATAATAAAATATAGTGTAGTTTTCTTAAAATTTTGTAGAATCCAATTTTTCAAAACCCATTTAAAACCATGCTGCAAATTTATAGTGTAGAATATAGTTCCCATATTCAACACACCAGTATTAACTTTACACCCTGTCTAGCATTTAATGATTAATACACCATGTCTAATATTTTTCCTTATTGCTTGTTTGGTTCTTCCTCTGCATTTGCCTCTATAAGCAGTGAAAAAGTCAAGATTTATTTATTTACACACTTACACACACACACACACACAGAGTAGCATGACGATATTGCAACTTGCATCAATGTTATAGTCTCAATCATCTGGATGATTCAATTAGTTTATAGATAATCTAATTTTGAATTAGATTAAATTACTTCAAAAGCAACGTCAAAATAGGCAAAAAGGTATTTTGTAGTCAGGAGGCTAGTTTATTTCATTATCATGAAAAGCAACAATGTATGTATAATGACTTGAATAATTCCTCATCCTGCACTGCAAATCTCATACCGAGTATAAAACCTGATTATATGTCTCCAAAATCATTTTCCATTTATGTTTGTATTTTCAAGTTGGGAAACAATAAATCTTTAAAAGTAAGGTCCATACTGCTCCACTCTGCTACAAAAGCATAGACAATATATGGTGCTGTATATACTGGAGGATTACAACTACAACTGTCCATTACTATAGGACAGCAGAGGTCCTATTAGATTTATATAAAATTTATTTATTTAAAATAAATTCTGAAAAAAGGCAAATAGTAGTAATGGTAGAATCTTCACAATAAGTAATAAGCGGTTGGTTAATGATCAAAAGTGAAATATTTTTAGAAATAGAATTATTTTAAATTAGGCGGTGCAAAGTAACAACCCCAAGCCCTTAAATGGTCTAGCAGGAAATAAAACAAGGTTTCTTAGCTCAAGTCCATCATTAAATACTATACTATCAAGATAGCATAAAAGCAATAATTGGACTGTATGATTTGATTATCAAAAATTCTTTGAGGAGATGTTGATGCTCTATGAACCTAGTTGTTTTCTTGCGGACATTTCATTACCCAGCCCATGCAACATCAGGACTCAACCCAAACTTCTTCTGAATATGAAAAAGATTTAGCCAAAAATGATCAGGCTCAAATCATTGTATTTTGGACATGTTATACAAAGACCTCACTTTATTTAAGTCTATAGTGCTAGAAAAGATGGAAGAGAAAAGAGGATGCCCAGCAGCAAAGTGGATGGATTTAGAGTCAGTGGCAATATATACACGTTTGGAAGATCTGAAGAATCAAGTTGGAGATAGATTATCTTGGAGAGAAATAACCATTCATTGTGATGAATATAGGGGAATGTATATACATATTCATCTTTAGGTTAAGAAACTTTATGCAGAAAAGTCAAATCAATCAGAGGCATGAAATAAAAAAGAAAAGGGGACACAACTAAAACCAACTTAATTCACTATACTTTTCCATACTTTTCAAACCTTACCAATTATTCTTGCTACCATATACTTGTCTATCATTTCATAGAAGTAAAAACGGATTCTTAAAAAAATGGCATGCTACTGCGATTGAATGGAATAATGGAGGAAAAATGTGATGATTTAAAAAAAATGTGGAAAAGTTCTCCCAATGGAACTTGCCTCTAATGGGAAAAAATGCAAATTTGTGGAAATATAATAAATTTTAAAAATTAAAATGTTTTCTCATTTAGAATGAACCTGTTATTTTAAGTACTACTTTATATATAGTTTTTGCCTCCCCCAAATGTTTTCAAATAATCCCATGAATGAACAGTATTAGGCAATTGTAATTTGGACTGTAAAGAAACACATCACAAAAATCTATATACTCTGTACAATACCGTTGAACAGAACTGAATCCCACAAATGGTATCCTCAAAAAGAATGGATGCAAAATTAATCAATGGTATGAAAATGCTGAAAATGTAAAGTGCAATTTCTAGTATAACTAGAAAAATATTATAGCATGGATGTGATTTGCTTTTAGAATACAAGACCTGTGCAGTTTATTCAATATATGTGCATCTATGTCTGATAAAAGAAAGGGATGTTGTTCCAAAGTAGAAAATTTCTACAAAAGTAGAAAACATTGAATGAGATTAACTTATTTAGTATACTTGGGAAAATATTTGGGCAGCATTTTAATTGAAAAGTATTAAGAAGTAGTGATGAACACAAGTTGTGAAATGCAGTAAGCCTTCGTATCAAGCATATATTTGCTCTTCAGCAGATCACTGAGAAACATATAAATTGAGAGTTTGTACATTTGTGGGTTTAGAGAAGAAATACAGTAAAATGAATATGTAATCTTTGTGCAAACATGTGATTGAAGGTTGGCTTTTGAACAGTATAAAAACCGGCTCACTATGGAATGCTTAGTAAATGGTTCAATGCTGATTGTTTAATGAAGTATTTCTCAATCTTTTTTCATCCATGACTTTGTTTTTCACCTGTGGCTTACTTGCTCAGGTCATATCAGTGGAAAAGATCGCCACTTAATACACCTGACTTTACTTCTCTGTGGCCACCTCAGTATTGTCTTCATTACATGTATTTCACTTGTGATCCACTTGAAATATCCTAGCTCCCCTCCCCCCATTAAGCCTTGATTCTCCTTGATTCAGCTTTCATTCATTGCTTCTTGTCCCGCCTTCATTATTAACAATGGCAAATAGTAGCTTTCCTTAAGTAGATGATGTGCTGAAGGCTTCCAGGAACTGCAAAAAGCACCTAAAACAGGGCTTTAAGAGTTAAAAGATTTAGTGTGAACTGCTTGCCAAATTTTGTTCACACGATCCCAGGGATGCTGCAATAGCTGGAACTTTGAAGACCAGTCCCTTTGTTCAGTGCCATATCTTTGAACTGTTGTTTAACAAGTAGTTGTAACTTAAGGAAAATCTATATAGAAAAACTGATAACAACATTTTGTGTTGATGAATAAAAACTGTGCATGAAGGCTGTAATTTTTGGTTAATTATTGCTTCTGTTGTTTGCTCTGGATTGCTTTTTAAAAATATGGCTAAGATATAAAAACACTGGGGACATATAGCTTCAACTCTATCCTCAGCCACAGATACTCAGGAGAGTCAGGATGATTTCAGGCCAATAAATCTTTCAGACCAACCTATACTGTAATCACATATATATATATATGATTACTATTATGAAAAAAAATTGGAATAGAAAACAGGATATAAAATGAATGACTAAATATTTAGACCAACAGGCTTAGAAATTCCCAAGATTTAGAGTTATATGAGACATTCCCAGAATAAAAATCAGCAGTTTTCTCTCGTCACTATCTAAATATGCCCCAAGACCATAAAAATGAAGAATGCAACAGAATAACAGAATATCTGAACAGAAATATAACTTTTTGATCAAAAGACTCAAAACTGGACTTTTTCAGCATTAGTACTTACTTAACCAAATGGTAACATACAATGTGTTTCATGAAAATTCTTGCTTACAGAAATACAGCAGTATTTTGCTGGTTTAGAGAATGGGATTTAAAGTGGAGAACAAAGCAGAATATTCTGATCATGTCCTGTGAAGCCTGGCAGGCTCCCATCACCTAGCCCTCTTCTAGTATTTAAGAGCATACAACCTGTGGGGTAAAATATGGCTGGAGCACAGCAAAAGTGAATGTTGATATATGGAAAAATAAGTTTTTGTTTTTTAGAGGTTTTGAGTATTTTATTGTTGATTTGGCACATGAAATGGACAGCCATGTATGTCTTTTAAATAAACCCCATAATTCAGAAGTTTTAAGTTATAAATGCAATTTTACAGTTGTTATAACTGTTATTGTCAGATTTTGTAAGGTCAAATTTTACCAAGTGATTCCTAAAAATGTAACATAAGTAATGTTCTTTTCCAATTAATTTACTATATAATCCTCTTCCTTCAACTATGCATTATTATACATGCATCTACAAAAATGGATTAATTAGTTAAAGGGGTTTTAGAGATAAAGAGATTAAATTCTAGATTCTTTAATTATACAAGCTATGAGGAGTGTTCCACCTGTCAGCTCTGAAAACCAGAAGAAGCAAGCTGGACTGAAGCAGAAGATTGTTAAAAATGTGGACACAATACACTGTTACTTTGATTGGTTGAATTATATCTTAAGATACTAACAGGATTTACTGATGGTTTGGCGGAATTGTTCTGGATTGTCACTGAAAAATCCCTGAAAATAAATGAAATAAATCCTGTTCTATGAAGTGTGGATTTGACTCAAAAGAAAAGGGACAAAGAAGTTGGGTTGTTGCAGAAAAAAATATCTGAGTCTTAGAAAAGTAAAAAACATGAATTAGGGTCAGTGCAGTGACTATATAGACTGTTAGGTAGAGATGTGATTATATGTGTATGTTGTTATTTGGATTTGTATGGCTTCAATTGATGTATTGTTTTACTGTTTCATATTTTTTAAATAAATCTTTATTGGGATGGACAGCTATGTAAATTTGATTGATAGATGATACACAGGCAATATACAGGCAGACACAGGTAGGTAGCTCTCTAGGCAAAATCAGCCGCATATAAATTTACTAAATAATACATAAATAGAACCCTACTGCTAAACTGACCGGTTAGTTTCAACCACTCCACTTGTTTGCAGGACCACAGATTCCTGAATTATATTACTGATATACCAGAAGTGCAAAGATTTGGTGGTAAGGGGCGTTGGTCTTACCTGATACGTTCCTTCTCGTTGTGCTGGGAAGAGAATCCAAGGTATGGGCTTCTCTGCTCTTCTGACTCAGCCGACAATCAGAAGAGCAGAGAAACCCATACCTTGGATTCTCTGTCTAGCACAATGGAGAATGGATTTGTTTAATAATATGGCTGATTTTGTTCTATGTACACAGTACCAACTGCTCTAGACATT